AGCTGGGCGTTATGGCGGGCGCTTGTAGTCCCAGCTACTTGGGAGGCTGAGGCAAGAGAATCGCCTAAGCCCAGGAGTTGGAGGTTGGTGAGCTGTGAAGCCCCGGCACTCTACCAAGGGCGACATAGTGAGACTCTGTCTCAAAAAAAAAAAATTAGTTGGGCATGTTGGCATATTCCTGTATTCTCAGATACTCAAGGGACTGAGGCAGGAGGATCACTTGAGTCCAGGAGTTTAAGGTTACAGTGAGCTATGATGGAGCCACTCCATTCCAGTCTGGGTGACAGAATGAGACCCAGGCTCTTTTTTGAAAAAAAGGTTTGGTGCAGTGGCTCACACCTGTAATCCTAGCACTCTGGGAGGCCAAGGTGGGAGGATTGCTTAAGCTCAGGAGTTGGAGACTAGCCTGAGCAAGAATAAGACCCCCATCTCTACTTAAAAAAAAAAAAAAGAAAAGAAAAAGAAAAACTAGCTGGGTATTGTGATGGGCACCTACAGTTCCAGCTACTGTGGTGGCTGAGGCATAGGATTGCTTAACCCCAAGAGTTTGAGGTTACAGTGAGCTAGGCTGATATCACAGCACTCTAGCCTGGGCAACAGAATGAGACTCTATCTCAAAAAAAATATAAGGGTGGCGCCTGTGGCTCAAAAGGGTAGGGCACCAGCTCCATATGCCGGAGGTGGTGGGTTCAAACTCAGCCCTGGCCAAAAACTGCAAATAAATAAATAAGTAAATACAGTCTTTAAAAATATATATATAAAAGAGTCCAAGAAAAAAAAGTGGCATTTTCCATACTAGACTATCAGGAGCTAGTTCCATTAATCTGGTAGGGCTCCTTGAACCTGGACATGAGGCATAGGAGTTAGGCCTTGCCTCTGTAGCCCAGAATAATCTTTTTTTTTTTTGAGACAGAGCCTCAAGCTGTCCCCCTGGGTAGAGTGATGTGGCATCACAGCTCACAGCAACCTCCAACTCCTGGGCTCAAGCGAGTCTCCTGCCTCAGCCTACCAAGTAGCTGGGACCACAGGCACCTGTCACAACCCCAAGCTATTTTTTGGTTGCAGCCGTCATTGTTGTTTGGCGGCCCGGGCTGGGTTCGAACCTGCCACCTTGGGTGTACATGGCTGGCGCCTTAGCCGCTTGAGCCACAGGCACTGAGCCAGCCCAGAATAATCTGGAGGCTGGACTCAGGGCATAGATAGAACCTTTTAAATAATTCAATAATCAATTTTCTTTTTGTCTTTCTTTTATTTTTTTTGAGACAGAGTCTCACTTTGTCACCCTGGGTAGAGTGCCGGGACATCTCAGCTCACAGCAACATCAAACTCTTGGGCTCAAGCAATCCTCTTGCCTCAGCTTTTTAAATAGCTGAGAATCCACATGCCCACTACAACACCTGGCTATTTTTAGAGATGGGGTCTCATTCCTTGCTCAGGCTGGTCTCAAACTCCTGAGCTCTGGCAATCCACTCACCTCAGTCTCCCAAAGTGCTAAGATTACAGTCGTGAGCTACCACACCCAGCCTTCAGCTTTCTTTTAAATTTGAGTTAACCTTAGTGTAAAAAATTTGAAAAATGTACAATTTTATAAAAATAATCACCTATAACCCTATCATTAGAGAATGACCATTGCTGATAGACTTTTGGATTATTTCTTCCATCTTTTCTGGTCTTTCATTTTACTTGATATGCTCATTCCCTAACTTTTGGCTTTACTTAATTCTTAGAACTAAATCATTAGTATATTTCATGTTAAGACTCTGTGTGTTTCATGACTACACAACAATCTTCTATTTTTAGATATGTAGTTTTCTTTTTCTTTTCCTTTATAAGATGTCTTTTTTTTTTTTTTTGGCTGAGACTGGGTTTGAACCTGCCACCTCCGGCATATGGGGCTGATGCCCTACCCTTTTGAGCCACCGGCACTGCCCCAGATGTGAGTCTTGCTATTTTACTCAGGCTGGTTTCAAACTCCTGGACTTAAGTAATCCTCCTGCCTTAGCCTCCCAAGTAGCTGGGATTACAGGCACATCCCACAAGACATTCAGGAGGTTCCTAATTTCTCGACAGTCATAAGTAAGGCTTTTGCAGACCAATCTTATATGTAAAGCTGTTTTCAATATTAGCTGCCTGGACTCCTCATTCCAGGCTTCAACCTGAGCCAGCCTCCTTTCCTTGGGCATCAGCCAGTTTATAGCTCTTTAGAACTGCTGTGTTCTTGAAGTGTTGGTGCTACTCAGGTGGTCTTTGTGCTCCTTTCTCCAGCACAGTCTCCCAGAGCAGCCTCAGTTCCTGCCATGCACTCCCTTGAGCATCACTAATATCATCACCTCCTCCTCTGAGACAACTGGCCTCTCCTGGCCTGCCCCTCTGACAGGGCCTGCCACCCTCCCATAACCTGCATTGGCTTCAGTCACTACATGCTGACTTGTGATCATCAGTTCACTTGTTACCCCACCCCCAATGTATCTCCAACGTCCCTCATGTCCCTAGAAGCTATCAGGTCCTAGGATGTACTATGGACCCAGAAATGTTTGATGAACAAATGAATGACTGAATGGTTAAAACTCTGAAAGTCAGCTTCACTAGCTCTTCATACTATGAGTATTTCTTGAAAAGATTAAAAAATATACCCATACATACCACTACTTCCAACCACATGCTCCTGTTCAACATACCACTACTTCCAACCACATGCTCCTGTTCAACATACCACTACTTCCAACCACATGCTCCTGTTCAAAGCTCAAAATGAGACCCGGTACAGTGGCTCACATCTGCAATCCTGGGAGGCCAAGGCAGGTAGATTGCTTGAGCTCAGGAGTTCAAGACCAGCCTGAGCAAGAGCAACACCCACCTCTACTAAAAATAAAAAAACTAGGCTTGGCGCCTGTAGCATAG